CTCGATTGATCGAAATCCTTGATTGATCGGCTTGCCGGGCTATTCAGTTTACTATAACTGGAAGAGCTCTATCGGCTGTTCCTCCTATAGAGACGTTATAGAAACCTCATGCCATTCCGTAAGGAGGGCGTTGGCCGTCTTGCCGACTCAAATGGTTTATATATTGGCCCCACTCGGGTATGGGTTCTGCTTCATCTTGTCTCAGGGGACGTTCTCCAGGGTTGCAGACTTGTGGTTCTGTATCCGTACCACTTGATTCGTTGTCTTCAAAGGGTTCTTCATCTGAGTCTGAATTCCAACATACACCTTGTTGGTTGTAGGGGTCCCCAGGTAAATTGTGTTCAACCATATGTTATGTATTAGAAGTAAGATTAGTAAAATACTCTCCGTAGTATTTTAATCTTTGTGTTTTGTTCTATAGTTCTTCTGAATATGTATGGTAAGTTTTAGACATGTCGCAACACTACTATCACTCCCAAACACATGTTCGTCATATCTTAAATCAATATAGTTGATCAGGCAGACCAATCTGTCACACCCCCAAACCAGACGGCGAAAACATCCAGGGGTGGAGGTCTTCATTTGTAGTATCACAACACATGCATCATAGTAATTAAAGTACAAACAACCATTGTATTTAGAAAGTATAAGTATTTACATGTGTTCAATCATTGTATATTGAAACCAAAATAGTTATACAAAAGAAGAAGATATGACTCAAAGTAGCTCCATCTTCTCAAAAGCTCAGGGAGTACCTGTTTATTGTTTCCCTGAGAATACAAGTAATTTGAAAAGGGAGTATCAACATAAAGTTGAGTGAGTGCATAAGTGTTTATGTTTGAAAGAATGTCTCTGTATCTTGCATATGTAAACTGTTCCAGAAAATCCTATATTTTCTGTTGTATATGAAAAGTAGTTTTATTCCCATAAAACTGTTCTATTTGTAAATCAATGTTTTGTATTTGTATTCCTTTATGTAAAACTTGTAACTGAGAGTGTGCCTGGTTTCACCAGCTATTATTGAAAACTGTATTGTACTATTATAGTTTGTATTCTGTAAACTGGTACTTTGAAGGTGTACTTACGTTTAGTTGATTATACACTAACGTATTGTTAATATCTTTTTAATGAGTTATTATAACCATACTAAGACATGATGGCCTAAAACAAACGCTTTGTAGGCGTTTAAACTGTTGATAACAATTGCCACTCATTAGCGTGTAAGCCTGACTGTAGCTCGCAGCCTGAGTGCGGGGTTGTCAATCCCAATATAGATCTACACACAACTTGTTTCGATCCCCTGACTGGAGACTCTGGTTATAATATCAGGACTTAAACTTGGTTGTCTAAATGAATTTAAACAACCTGAATTGACTGTCTCATAAAAAGCATATAAACGTTACATGTATATTAGTTATGAAAACCCAATCATTATGAAATAAATGATTGATAGTATGTCCTTGAATTAGTATTCTTAACATGTATATGAAAAGTATATCCTTTGATTTGTTTTGAACCAAACCTTTGTTTCTTGTAAAACTGTGTATTCTAGTATACTTGAATCATGTATTATTGCTCTATGTATCATAAATTATACCTATTATAATTTATATGTACTTTTTGAATTGGTATTTAATTGTGTTTGAATGTAATCACTTGCTCAACATGTTACAAAGGGTATTTAAACTAGATGAAATAACTTTTATATTTATATACATATACAATCAAATATAAGTAAAATTTAAACGACATTCAGACAATTAACCGGTACTTTAAGCCCACATCCAAACAAGGAAAAAGGACCCAGAATGAGTTATTAGTCCTAAGCCTTTTAAATCTTGTTTATATATATATATATATATATATATATATATATATATATATATATATACAAATATGAATTTTGGGGAAAAATATAAGTTTACAAAAGAGTTTAATGTTTTGAGTATATTTTGATGATTTAATGTCGTTTTATCATGATTTGAAATCATTGATTTATAACACAAGATTCTTGTGTTATACTTGTATTCCCCCCCCCCCTCTTAAAACAGTAGAAATTATGAAAATACGGGGGTATGAACTCACTTGATAGGTGGTGATTTGGACAACGTTTCGTTTCCTGGAAAGGAATTTATTTGACGAAAAACCGGCTTTAATCGGGCATAGTTTCGACTGGAGAAAGTTGTTTTTCTCGGGAATCTCGGGGCTTCGAGGCTTGCTTAGGGTTTTAGACTTGATACCGGGGCTTTAGGGGTTGTATGTAATTTTGTGGAAGTGAAAGAAGTGAAAAGAAATGGAAAATGGGGTGAAAAGTGTAAAAAATCTGGAGGGTCTCGCACCTCTTATATAGGCTGAAGCCTCGGATCCGAAGCAAGGGGAAGCAGCCGCGTGTTCGGACAGGTGGCGAGCGGGAGGGCTCGCTTCGGACAGCTGGCTCGGTCGTGTCGGATCAGGAGTGGACCGAGCTTCGGTCGAATCAGAAGAAGGCGCGTGTCCGAGCTCGGTGGCGTGTTCCTGCGAGGGGTGTCGACTGGCTACTGGACCGCAACTTCGGTCCAATCAGAAGGTGCCACGAGGTGGACACGGGGAGGCCTCGCATGCGAGGTGACGTGGCCGAAGGTACACCATGCGAATTTTCCTGGTTTTCAACATTTCTCGATTTTTGTGCCCAAAACTTGCGAAATTCATAACTTTCGCATTCGAGCTCCATTTTCGATGTTATTTATATGCACGCGTAGGTAAAATTATACTCTACGACTTTCATTTAGACTTCGTCGGCTAATTTTAAATTTATTTGTAATATTATTATTTTTAACAGACCAGGACAGGAAATCCGTTAAAAATTCATAACTTCTTCATCCGACGTCCGTTTTTGTCAATCTTTTTACCGTTGTACTACTATTGACGAGACCTTCAATTCTCGTTTAGGTTGTGTCGGCTAAAAATCATTCGATCTTTATTTCGAGTTTTTAACTGTATACTGCTATAGTGAAACTTGGAAAAATCATAACTTCCTCATACGAAGTCAGATTTTGACGTTCTTTTTATGAAAGTTACCGGTTTAACATAATCTACAATTTTCATTTAAATTTTTATGGCTAAAAAGTCTTTTATTGAAAATTCACTTTTTACACTGAACAGTGTTTTGCCGGTTTTGTCGCGGATCTTCGATTGGTCATAACTTCTTCGTTATAACTCGGATTTTAGTGTTCTTTATGTTTTTGGAAACCTTGTTACAATCTCTACCACTTTGTTCATCCCAATCAAGATTGTTTAATACTTTATTTTTGAGGGTCAATTATATAAATTTACACAATATGCTAAATTTCTCTTTATTATTTTAAAAAGAATTACAAATTGACCTACATTATTACATAGGTTTGAAATAATGGTTTGTTACATTAATGGTTACTTACATTATCAATATTCTTCCTACACAAATTCTTGGATTGAAAACTCCTATCACAAACTTTATGATAAATCTCCTTCATATGAAAATCTCAAGGGGTTTGGTTGTTTATGTTTTTCTACAATCACAATACCTCATAAAATAAGATTTGAGTCTAGAGCTACCATGTGCTATTTTCTTTGATATTGGAGAAAAGGCATACAAATATGATCTTCATGATAAAAATATCATAATTTCCAGTGATGTGATTTTCTATGAGAATATTTTTTTCCTTATAAAGGGAGTTCCAGAAAGCTCTATTGCTGATAATTTGGTGATTCCAAAAGTGATAAATGAAGAATCTTGTTCTTTTGAAGTCAATGATGAAAACTTCTTACCATCACAATATTATAATCAAAATAATATTGATCTTATTAAATAAAATGAAGACTTCTATAATCCAAGGCAAAATGGTCATAACGAAAATATCGATCATACAGAAAATGTTAGAACAAGGACAAGACAAAGGAAACATCCGACATGACATAAAGATTTTGTTATGCATTGCATCGAAGAAATTTACTTCACCTCATTATCCACCAACATTTCCCTATTTCCATTTTGCAATGCTAACCCAACCTCATAAAAGCCTTCTCAACTTAATTTCTCAAATTTCTGAGCCAACTAGTTATGAACATGCTAGTGAAAATGATGAATAGGTTAAGTCCATGAATAAAGAATTGGAAGCTTTAGAAAAGAATGATACATGGACCATTTTGCCCTTGCCACCAAACAAAAAACCTATAGGGTCAAAGTGGGTATACAAGATTAAATTGCATCCAGATGGCACTGTGGAAAGATATAAGGCCAGACTTGTGGCAAAAGGGTATAATCAAGTATATGGTATTGATTACTTGGACAATTTTTCACCTGTTGCAAAAGTTGTTACATTGAGAATATTACTAGCCCTATCTACATCAAAGGGGTGGTTTTTACATCAATTGGACATAAAAAATGTATTCGTATATGGTTTTCATGATGATTAAGTTTACTTATTACCACCACAAGGTTATGAGAAGACGAAAACAGGAGAAGTATGCAAGTTAAACAAGTCCTTGCACTATAAGAAAATTTTGATTTAGCTACGGAAAAATTCCGTAGCAAAAAGCTAAAATTCTATAGCGAAACATGAATAACTACGGAAGTTGCTACAGAATTTGTCATGGATATTTCGTATGTATATTTCTTGTAGTAAATTTTTTTGCTATGGAATTATAGTTCCGTAGTAATTTTGCTACGGCCCTTGCTACCTCATCTATTTCGTAGCAAGTTAACTACAACAAGATTCCATAATAATTACATAACAATGGGTTTCATAGTAAATTACGTAACTGTTTGTTCTTTAGCAAATTTAGAAGCTACTATTCCGTAGCAAATTTCATAGCTATTTGTTCCGTAGCAAATTTTGTAGCTACTTGTTCCGTAGCAAATTTTGTAGTTGTTTGTTCATAGCCATTTTTCCATAGCTATTTGCTATATTTCTGTAGCCTAATTGCCACAACAATAGGTTCAAAGCAAATCACTATGGTAAAAATATTCAATAAAATCAAAATTTCCAATTATAATTTTCATAAAAATATATATAAATATAATAAATATAAATTTAATAGGTACATCAATTTTTATAGATATATTACATCATAAAAAATTCTTCTACAAGGTTACCTAAACATCAAAACTAAATATTAATTACACATAAAGTCACGCAGTTCATATTTGAACCATCACGAACACACAAATAGCCACAAATAGTCAACCAAAATGTAAAACCTACAAAACCAAATTTACAATCAACTTGATTTAAAATCAATCTGTTGTATGTTAATAACGACCAAAACTGAAAGTACTATAATTTTGGACAAAAAAACCGTAAATGTCATAAATACAAGGAGCATTTTTGTAATTGTACTTGACAATTTTAACAAATAAATCAAAATGTAAATGCACTTACAACACATATAATTTTCTTGGAGGATTTCGCATGATACATTCAAGGGAAGATCATTGGAGTCAACAACACCCGTCACAAAACTTAGGTACCGTGGAAGCTAAAGAAAATATAAAAAGAAAAAGAAAAACGGTTAAAAGTAAAAAAACAAAAAAAATCATTTTTGTGCCATGAAAGTACATTGCTATTAATCTTACCAATTTTCCATCAAAGTCATATGAATTGAAGACACATTTGACATAGAGTCTTAGATTCTAAGAACTCATTAACCGTCTTCTTATAGATATCATTATATTCCTATGTTGTAACTTCATTAGGATTCCTAAGCTGCAAAAAAAAAAATGCATATATCCACAAAAATTGAATATTATTTTAAAGACATAAACTTTAAATTCAAAGATTAAAAAATTACCCATATAGGTTGTGTCTCGTTAGTGAGATCCCACTCCCAGTACTTCTCAATAACTTTCTTGGTTTTCTTCTTTTTCTGTTACAAACAAAGAAATTATATAAAAATTAGATCTCCATCTTACGCTACATGAACTCGATTTTATAAAAAAAAAATGTGCTTACCTCAACATTGTCATCAGTCCCACTCAAATTGATCTTCATCAACCTCAACTTCTTTTGTGTATCCCTTTTCTATTGTGGGTAAAAGAAAGAGTTTGTTTCCTATTTAGTAGTGTGACTAAAGTACAATGCTATTTCCCACAATTTGAACATAAAAAGAGCAAAAATCATGCCTTTAGTTTGAAGTTCAATGAGAAGCTCATTAATACCGCCATCTTGCAGCAACTCTTCATGGACAAGAAGAGTTTCCTAGTAACAAAAATCATATTAAATAAATAAAAAAACAAAAATATGTATTTTTGCACAAGATATGTTAAGGAAGATAAATACCATAGCATTACAGGCTGCTGGGTAATCTATTTTTGCATCCAAAACTATGTTTTTTGCTTTTTCCATGTCAACAGATTTGTCAACATAGACATGACAGATTCCATCTAGAAAGTTAAAAAAGCAAAATTACTAAATCGTCCTCAAACATCTTTTAATTTACAGAGAACATAAATCTTACCAGCATGAGTGAATGACCAAGAACAGGTATTAGTGTTGCAGACTTTATTTGAGAAATCATTTTATTATTTCCTCTTGGAATCACAATATCGCTGACATCATCAAGCTAAATGAGAATTCTAAATTCCCATTTTATTAGGATGCCTCTTGGAATCACAAGAACCTTGAGTAATTCAGGAACTTTTTCTCTAGATGTCACTAGACCGATTAACCCTTTAGTAACTGTGTCTGGGATGCATTAATATGTTTCAATCTACTAATAAAGTTAATTAAGAATTTAGTGCTTCTTATCCAATTGGTTCTAGAATGATAATGCAAAAACAGTGTTGATTATGGTACCATAATCATGAAGAATGGAGATAACGATTGTGTTAAGAAGGTGTTTAATGTGATAGCATGAAGAGTAATATGCACAACATGGATCAACTATTAGAAAAAGAGTTATAAACATAACTTTAGTTGTAATCAAGATGTTCCAATTTGAGATTTCCAATATTATTTATACTTGTCTTAATGAAATTACAAAAGATAAGTTTTAGTCGTGGGCCTTGTGGCATCATCATTTAATTGTTCATAGTAGAAAACCTATAGTTACAGGAAGACAAAGAGGTGGTATAGCTTCCCAGGCTTTAGATTATGGCAAGAACATAAGAATACATAGGTTGACTTATGAGTATTACAAGGCATTATTAGTAGATTTTAATGTGCAAGTTCTTTATTATCAATAATTTAGGTCTTCCATCCTCGAGGCTCCAACTATATGTCCACCTATTTTTCTTACAAACTAACATGTACATCAATATTTCATCCTAATCTGTCCAAATAAAAGACAATTCAGTTAAACAAGGCACTACAGGTAAGGTTAGTTCAATCAAAAACACAAGGGAAGTAGCATGAAAAAGCTACCGAAAAGGTGAAACTAAGGAAATATGATTAATAAAACATGTTGTGAATAATAAAAAAAATATCTATTTTCTGGTTCCTAAAGAAGTAAAGTTATATTTTCGTAATATAGTGTTATATAGAGATGTTTAACAAGTGAAAGTAGTTACCATGAATTGATTGAGGTCCTTATCTTCAAGAGGCTGATTGTGATTACCAAAAACAGAGTACTTATCTATAACCCGTTGAGTTTGAGCCACGTACACACTAATCCTCGCTAGATGATCCAACTGCATAACAATTCTCAAGCACGAGAATATCCGCGTTACACTTGCCGAATTTCCAACCATTCTTATAATTACCTCCATTTCCGTTACCGTTTACGCTTTCATCTCTCTCACTCTGTCATTGACTCAATTTCATAGCATTTCATTGAGATTATTCTCACTATTAATCACAGAAATAAACATCGATTTTCGATTACTGTCGCCGTTATCGATAGGCCGAGGAGATAGCCAGTGGTTGTTGGAACCGGATGAGTCAGAATTGGTGGTTTACAAGTGGAGAAAGTTGTCACGACTGCCGTCTCTGTCATAGTGGTGGTTGTGTTGCTGGTGAATTGCGTTTTTTAGCCATATAGGCGGCCGGCACAGCAAAGTCTCAGGGCGAGTGTAATTATCCGAGATTACACACTTTACGCTTCCAAATGTGATATGATTTGGGGGGAACAATTTATTTTAGAAACGTGAAAGAGGAGCAAAGTGGAGTAATTAGTTTTATGTGATTCGATTACATATTATTAAAAAAAACTTATTATAATAATATATAAATACTTAGAACAAATAAAAATTTATAATAATATTTTAAAATTATTACCAATAAAAAATGATTTATAATTAAAATTCCAACACAATTAAAAACAATAACTTACTTGGTAAAATATATTTCTACATTTTACTACAAAAACATATTCGGCAGCTAGTCTACTACGGAATATTCCGTAGCCACATAGCTACACATTTTGATTATGTAGGTATTTTTTCAAATTAAAAAATAAGTTATATACACAAATAACTACGGTTAATCTTTTCGTAGAAGTTCCATGGCAACTTAACTACAAATTTTTATTGTGTAGCAAAATAGCTACATATATTCAATTTTGTAGCCAACTAGCTATGTATTTTGATTCCGTAACCAATTCTATAGCCAACTAGCTATAGATATGAATTATGTGACAAGTTTTGTAGCGAACTAGCTACATCACAACAAACTCATAGCATATTCCAAAGTAAAATAACTATGGGTTTTGAGTTTGTAGCAACTTTTAGTAGCAACTTAGGATTTTGCCACGAAAATACAATTTCGTAGCCATTTCAGTAGCCAAATAGCTACGAGTAGCCATTCAGTAGCATATTTTGTAGTAGAATAGCTACAAATTTTGATTCCGTAGTAATTTTCTATAGCTATTAAAGACTTAGCTACGGAATGCAATTATGTAGTCATTTCCATAGCAAAATAGCTACGATGAGCCATTCCGTAGCATATTCCGTAGTAGAATCGCTATATATTTTGATTTTCTAGCAATTTTTCGTAGCTATTTAGGAATTTTCTTATAGTGTTGTATTGACTCAAACAAGCAAGTAGACAATGACACATAGAGTTTTGCAATAAACTCTTAAGTTTTGGCTTCCAACAATCTTCACATGATCATTGTCTATTTACAAAAGGAGAATAAAAGAGTTGTATAGCTTTGATGGTTTATGTTGATGATGTCTTGATCACTAGCCCGAATGAAGATCTTATTACAGAAGTCAAAAATTTTCTGCATAAAATCTTCACTATAAAAGATCTTGGAGATGCAAGTCATTTTCTAGGCATTGAGCTATTAAAAACATATAAAGGCCTTTATGTAAATCAAAGAAAATATGTTCTTGATATACTTTCAGAAGTGGGACTAACAGGGGCATAACCGACACCAAATCCAGTTATTAAGAACATGAAATTATGCATGGATGAGGGGCAATTATTGTAAGATCCAAAAAGATACATAAAGTTGGTTGGTAAATTGCTTTATCTTAATTTCACAAGGCACAATATTAGCTATGCAGTTCAACAATTAAGTCAATATTTGCATAAACCAACTAAAATACATCGGAAGGTTGCCATACAAGTTTTGAAATACTTGAAAGGATCTCCATTAAAAGGTTTATTTTTTAATAAAAATTCTTCAAATTTGGAAGTAACTGCATGAACTGATTCTGATTGGGCCACATGTAAGGACAAGAAGATTATTACTGGGTTATTACATATTCATTGGATCATCCTTGGTGTCATGGAAGACAAATAAATAGAAAACAGTAGCAAGATCATGTTGTGAAGCAGAATACAGAAGCCTTACTGCAAATATATGTGAGCTATTATGGATTAGCTATATCACTATAGATTTGAATATTAAAATGAAATTTCATATTTCATTATGGTGTGATAGCAAGGCTGTAACACCCTGTTCCAAATCGTTTCTTAATTTCGGGTTGTGACCCGAAGATCGGTTATCATAAGGCTTAGGGCCTTTGGAAAAATAGGGACTCAGACCCATTTGGGTGTGGGTAATGTAATATGGACGATCCGGGAGTTCGGTTTGTGTTTTGGAGCCAAGGGGTATATCGGTAAAGTGTCAGTTCGGGATTTTTATGAATTTTGGATTTTAGTTTCGGAAATTTTAAGGTAATAATGAGTTGATATAAGTGTAGAGCTTCTTGTTACCTTTCCGTGGATATAAGGATCGTCAAAATCAGACTCAGAACGAAGAAGTTATGGCCTCCGGAAGTTGGTGGTTTAAAAGGCTAAGCCTTGTACATAGGACGTACAAGGGAGTACGCAAGGTGTACTAGGCAGAAGGGATCGTGACACTTCATGGAGTATGTTGGGCGTACTCCAGCCAGATGAAAATTCTACTTTTTAGGGTTTGCACCCTATTTAAGCATCATTATATCATCTTTTGGACATTTTAGACCAGCCTCCATCTCCTATTACCCTGAAATCGAAACCCTAGAGTGATTTGGTGATTTTTTGAGCTTGAAGGAGTGGTTGTTGGTGGATTATGAAGAAGAAGAAGAAGAAGAAGAAGAAGAGCACTTTACGGGATAACTTGAGCTTGTAGATCCAGGATCTTCTTCTCATTTACAAGCATTTTGAGGTAAAAAGCTCTCACCTTGATGGTCTTTGGTGTTAGATCTAATTTATGGTGTACTTTGTTCACTTTTGGAGACTTTTTAGTTAAAGGTGAGCTTTTGATCTACTCCAAAAGCTATGGATGCCAGATCTTGGCTCCATTTGATCCCCATGTTCATAAAAAATGTCAACTTTATGGAAGATATTGGTCCATGCAAGCATTAAGAGCTTTATTAAGCTCTTGTTGAGCGTTTGAGTCCCTTTAAGCCATGCATGAGTGTAAAGTTGCCAACTTTATGTGATAGGTAGCCTTAAAGAATCAGATCTGAGAGTTTGGCACTTTGTCTTAGCCGATTAAGTGCTTAATGAGATGGTTTGGTAGTCTGGGGAGTACGCTGGGCATACCCGGCTGGTACTTTTCGCGTACTAGCCCCAGAAGGAGTATGCTAAGCGTACGAGTTGAGTACGCCCCGCGTACTCTACAAATAGGCTTTGGGCTTGACATTCTCAATATTTGGGCCAATGTTTGGGCTTCCATTGCTTGGGCCTTGTTGGGCCATCTGACTTCTGTGTTGGACTTTGGACTAGCATGTTAGGCTTCCTTGGATTTAGGCCCATAATGGGTTTCGGGCCAAATTTGGAAGATTGGGCTATATTGGGCTTTAGAATATCATTTAGGTTTGGGCCTTGGAAGTAGTTGAGCAGGGCCTTGGCTTTGGGCCAAGTGAGATAAAGGATAGAATGGTCTTTTACCTTTTTTATGGGCTAAGTATCTTAG